TAGTGGTTCAAGGATACAATCAAGAAGAAGGAATAGACTATGATGAGACTTTTGCACCTGTTGCAAGGATGGAGGCTATTAGAATTTTAATAGCTTTTGCTGCATTCATGGGGTTCAAGTTGTATCAAATGGATGTCAAAAGTGCATTTCTGAATGGAGATCTGAAAGAGGAGGTATTTGTTAAACAACCTCCTGGGTTTGAAGATGTTGATCTACCAGATCATGTGTTCAGATTGAATAAGGCTCTGTATGGCTTGAAACAAGCCCCTAGAGCATGGTATGAAAGGCTATCAAAGTTCCTGTTGAAGAATGGTTTCAAAAGAGGAAAAATAGACAATACCTTGTTCTTATTAAAAAGAGGACAAGAATTGCTTATTATTCAGGTTAATGTGGATGATATAATTTTTGGAGCTACTTCAGAACACTTGTGTGAAGAATTCTCATCATTAATAGGAAAGGAATTTAAAATGAGCATGATGGGTGAACTAACATTCTTTCTTGGCCTACAAATCAAGCAATCATCAAATGGAATCTCAATCAGTCAAGAGAAGTACATTAAGGAGATACTGAATAAATTCAATATGTTTGACATAAAACCTATTGATACTCCTATGGGAAAAAACTCCAAGCTTGCAGTAGAGGAATTTGATCCTTTTGTGAATCAAACCATGTATAGGGGAATCATTGGGTCCTTGTTATATCTGACTGCTAGAAGACCTGATATTGTTTCTATCCAGGTGCTAGGTTCCAGGCATGTCCTCGTGATTCACATCTGAAGGCTGCAAAACGTATTCTCAGATACTTGAAGAAGACAGGGGACCTGGTTCTTTTCTATCCAGCAGGTGATACTTTTGATCTAGTAGGCTTTGCAGATGCTGATTTTGCTGGTTATAAAGTTGACAGGAAGAGTACTTCTGGAATGGCTCATTTCCTTGGATCTTCACTCATTTCTTGGGGAACCAAGAAACAGAATTCTGTGGTTCTTTCAACAGTTGAAGCTGCGTATGTAGCAGCAGCTGCATGTTGTTCACAGCTGTTATGGATCAAGCAACACTTGGAGGATTTTTGTATAAACATCAAAGTTATTCCTCTTACGTGTGACAATACTAGTGCAGTTAGTATAGGAAAAAATCCAGTTCACCGTAAGAGAACAAAGCACATTGATGTTATACATCACTTTCTGAGAGACAATGTTGAAAAGGGGAATATTGTGCTTACATATTGTCCAACAGAGGAACAAATTGCAGACATCTTCACCAAGGCTCTCAGTAAAGATCAATTTGAGAGAAATAGGTTGAAGTTGGGCATGATGATCTCTAATTGAACTCCGGAACTTCAAGAGTTGAATTCCCTTGATGGCTAAATTTGCAGTACAGGTATCCTTTGTGTCAATAATTTACTACTGGATTAGATCATTTTGGTACCTATAGTAGGTATACTTTCAGGAAGGACTAGCTTAGCAAATACATGGCTAGAACAGCTTGGGAATGAGGATAAAATTGTGTTATGGGACCTGGTGCCTGTCCAGGTTAGCATTTGTAAATTAATTTTAAACTGAAAAAATATGACCCTTGATTATGTCACGTGTCAGTCATCGGTCATTCTGACCGTTAGTCCCATCACTTATTCTTCAAGTGACACGTCAAATCAAGGACCTGCCACCGTTTCAAATCCTTTTTAAACCCTTTTTATTTCTTTTTGATTTCTCATCCGTCTCTCAACATTCCTTCACTCAAAAAAAGGGGGAAAAGTTAAATACAAAATATGTTCTTCCTTCTTCTTCTCTGTCTTCGAAAAGCTATTGTTTGTTCTTATTCTGGTCAAAGATGTCTGATCCTTCTTCAACCTCTAAGCAAATGCTCACTGCTCTCAGTGAGATTGAACCGATCGCTTTTTATTCTCCTTCAGCAGTAGAGTCCAGATCTAGTGCTCCTTTAAGTTCACAAAATGATACTTCTGACAATCATTTCCATTCCATAGATCTGAACAGCACTAGAATACCTACTGGACCTGGTCCTTACCATGAGATGTTTCCTGACAATCTATTTGAAGGAGACTTGCAAAGAAATAAGTCGTCTGAGTCAAACATTTTGGCAGCAAGTGAAGAACTGGTTAGCAAAAGTCTTGCACTGATAAGAGAAGAAGCTAGGGCTGAGCAAAATGAAGCTTTACAAGGTGAAGAGGTAATGGACACTCAACCCATTTTTCATAAAACTCCAGATTTTTGGAGGTATCCTTCTTCTAACTCCTCAGATTCTGAAAGTGATGAGGAACCCATTAAATGGAAGGTTGAAATAAGGGAGGTTGGGGTGTCTAGAAAGGGAAAAAAAAGGTAGTGGAAGATGCTCCTAGAAGAATACCTACTACTAGGTCGATGCTAGGAAGTTGATGGCTGATGCCTTAAAGGCTAGTGCAAGATCTACGACTGAAATTAGGAGTGCCAGAACTTTTAAAGTATCAAACTTTAGAATGCCTGAATCTGGTGTCATTGAGGTGTCTGCTAAAGAAATGAAAAAAAAACGAGAAGAAAAAGTCAGGAAAAACAAAGTCAAGGGATCCAAAGAAGGTTTAGAAAACAAAACCCAAGAAGAAGAGTTTGGCAGGAAAACGGAAGAGATCACATGAACCTAGTACCCAAAATAGGAGTGAAGAGGAGTTCAACATGCAGGAAATTGTTGACAACTTGAGAAAGCAGGCTGTGTTGGCTGGAAGATTCTTTGACATGGGAATCATCGATCTTACCGGCATGGACTCTCTCCATGACATGGTGGAAATTCAATCATGGATGCATCTATTCAACAAGAAATCTCCTATCATCTATGAAGAAGAAGTGCACGAATTCTATTACAACATTCAATGCAAAGAAGATGGGAGTATCCTCACAAGAGTAAATGACATTGCAGTGCATCTGGATGAGTTTCTGCTGGGCAAAATTCTCAGGGTACCTAGAGAGGGAACCAGGTCTGTGACTGGAAAAACTTGTTCAATTGAGTTTGTGTCCTTGGTTTCTAAGCTTCCTACAACAAAGGTTGCTGGGTTTTTTAAGAAGGTCATGAAGAGCGAGTACCAGTTGGTGTTCGAATTTGTAAACAAAATTCTCCTTCCTCGGACTGAAAAGAGGACTTCAGCAACTTCTACTGACTTATTTGTGATGGAGATGTTGTGTAGATTCGAAGCTCTGAATCTCCCAGGACTTATGCTTGAGCACATGTACAAAACTGTCATTGAGAGGAAAGACATTCATGGGATGGGATACAGATTCTTTCTCACTGAAGCATTCAAACATTGTAAAATTCTTCTGAGTTTTGGCAGGGTTGGGACTGTGAAACAAACTTTTTCAAAGAGTACCCTGGTCGAATGTGAGTGTATTGAAGGAAAAGGCAATCCCAAGAGCAAGATGGCTCAACTCATAGACGGTCAGGATCAACTCAAGCATGAGGTTGAGGAGCTAACTGTGTTTTTGAGTGGTAAAGATGCTGAAATTGCTATACTCAAAGCTGAACTACTTACTGCACAGACTGAGGGACCTGGTACTTCTGTGGTTCAAGCTCTGGAGAGGGAAAATGCAGAGCTGAGGGCCAAGATTACTGCTTTGCAAGAGAAAGCAATTAACGATAATGATGCTGCCAATGCTCGACTCACTCTCATTATCCAGTCCCTTTCTCATCAACCTCCCCCTTCCAAGACTGTTCAAATCTTCTCCTATATCTTCTTTTTGTGGCTTGTCATTGTGTCGTTAGATTATCAGTTTGTTTTTAATGTACTAAATGTTATCGTGGAATGTTATTTCACTTATTCCCTTGGTGTTCTAGTTATTATATATTGTGAATATTTTTCCCTTCTATTTGATTGCTATCTATCTTTGATCTTATCTGATATTATTGTTGACATCGTTGGTTTACTGTTTATCTTTTTTATGATGCCAAAAGAGGGAAGTAAAACTGGTAAGTGGCTGAGTTGTGTGTGAGGGGGAATACAGTGAGGGGGAACAAAGTGAGGGAGAATACAGTGAGGGGGAACAAAGCTGGAGTGGTGCCTGAGTATTGTTTGTCATCATCAAAAAGGGGGAAAATGTTATTTGTAGTTTTGATGATTTGACAAACTCAGGGACCTTGTAAAGGTACCAGGTTTCCTACTTGAGTTTTGAAGATGAAACAAACTCAGGGACCTAGTGAAGGTACTAGGTTCCCAATGTGACTAGCCGGTTGACTGCCAGCTGGAGAAGGTACAGAAAGTGGGTGCACATTTCCCAACGGCGTCAGAAAGTCAGACCTCTCCAACCAATGGCAAAGAGTTTAAGGAAAGTAACTTGTCCATATAAAAGTCACTTTCCTAAACATTATTCCTTAGTTTTTGCAAGTTGATAAAGCATTTTCAAGAGAACTTGCAAAGGCTATCGAAAATCAAAGCAGAAGAATTATTCAAAACAACAACTGAAATATCAGCAGCATATAGTGTAGTTGTTTAAGAATATATTCTCTTGGTCTTATATTGTAAACTATTCCTAAATCTATAAAGGAATTAGTGTGTGGTGTTAAAATTCTAAGTTTTCTAGGAGGGATAGCTTAGTGGGTAGAGTAAAATCTACTTAGGCTTGTAAAGCAATAGCGATTATTGCTTGACTGTGAGATTAAAAACTTTTTCTCACATTTGTTGTAATCGGGTTTCACTTTTGCTTGTGAAGATTAGTGAAAACGGTTGAAAATCTTGTGAGACAGGTCATGGTTTTACTCCCTTAAGCAAGGAGGTTTCCACGTAAAATTGTTGTGTTGTTTATTCTGCATTTACTTTCTGTTCATCATTGTTAGTGTGTCAAGGGACCTGGTCCATTGACTGATAAGTGAAGGCACATATTTTATCAATCAGACATTTGTACTTCTTGTCCTGTCTCTAAACTAATTGTGGCCATTCGATATGTTGTCAAATTATTGTTATGATGTATATAAAACAATGATCGATCATTGTAAAGCTTTCATCTCTTGTGCACATGGACTAAGTTTACTAGTCAACTATATTTATCAAACTTTGTTACTTATGCACATGAATCCAATCATCCATGAGGACTTCAGTGCATTGCACATCGATCTCCCAATTCTAATCATTTTGGGTACCTCTTGTAGGAAATCTATGGACATATACAGTAATGTATCATCTCCAAGTCTTGACTTCGTGGGAGCACCTTCGTTATCTCTGCTAGGAAGCTCATTCTTTGGCTCATCTCTCATAAGAAGAAACACTCCTGAGATATTGCCTTCTCTTCACAATCCTCTCATACCGCCAGAAGAAGAAGAAAAAGAAGCTCACAAGCATATTTCTCATGATGAGAATCCCTCCAATGATGCACGTAGAATTCCAATTTCCCGCCAAAGCTCTTATGGCCAAGCAATGGTAAATGGTAAGTTTCGTGTGTTTCAATTTATTGATGAGCACTATGCCACCAGAGGATTGACATGCCACTGTACTCAATAGTTACGCTTATGATGTCGTATTCACTTAGGATTTATGTTGAATGAAATTTTGCAGTCTAATATATTTATCATCATTGCATGAGATTTTTTATTTTGCTTAATAATATTCAGACTTTAAATACATCTCCAAATATTTTCAGTATTTTTTTTCTAACACCTGTACTTGACTAAAAGGAAAGCTCTTGCTTGTATTTCTCTATCTAATTGATTGCCTTCAGAGATAGTTGATTTATATACAGGCATGAATGTCCTCAGCGGAGTAGGAATTCTTTCTACTCCTTATGCTGTGAAGGAAGGTGGATGGGCTGGACTTTCAATATTATTCATTTTTGGTGTGCTTTCTTTCTATACTGGCATGCTCCTGAGGTACTGCTTGGATAGCCAACCCGGGATTGTGACGTACCCAGACATTGGTCAGGCTGCTTTTGGTACAACAGGACGAATTTTTGTATCAGTAAGTTCCATAAACTTTAACTTGTCTTTGGTTCTTCTACATCAGGCTTTATATATTGAAGGCCTTGCTGACTTTGACATGCTTAGTGTCCCATATTGGTGAGGAAAATGGATCGTTGTGTCCTTTAATTGTCTTGGACAATTCTCACCTCCGGACCTAGCTTTAAAGGTTGAGTAAGGTCCAAGATCGACTTCTTAAGATGGTATCTGAGTCGAACCAATTCATATTCTTAGTTCACTCAATGTTGGCCAAAATCTTAAGTAAAAGAGAAACACTCAGTTCTGACTTTTTTAGAATAACTCGTTAAGGTATTTTGTCACTTTAAAAATCATATTTTCTTATTATATCTTTTGGTAGATATCTTACATTTGATAAATGTTTGATTAGAAACATTTCTTGTTCATAATACTTATCCGTTTTGGTATAGTTGTATTTTTGTGGATGCAAATAATCTTATACGTGGAACTATATGTAAGTTCATCTGGCCTAGAAGTTTGTTATTCTTTTTGCTTTTCCTCGCAAACTGATATAAGTTGCTGTTTTAATATCTAAAGCATCTCGTCCATCTTGATATTGCTTCGTTTCTAACTTATATAGTCATTCTATGCCTTTATCCTTCACTCATAGGCCTCTTGTGTTGATATCATAATCGTGGAGGGTGATAACTTGTCGCCTATATTTCCAAATGCACATTTAAGTCTGGGTGGGTTTGAGTTATATGTGTTAGGATCGAATGCATGCACACACACTAGATGAATGAAGAACACAAGAACTTTCAAGAGAAAGAGATGCGAGATCTAGAGAGAGAAAGAGAAAACTCAATATTTCGTGGTAACACCCCGTGAGCAAACTTCCACGGCGGTGAGGTATATTTATATTAATAAATCAGAGTATTTTTTGTTACAAAGAATAAATAGGAAAGCCTAAAATTTAGGTTAAACCGCGTAAACAATCATACATATTAATCAGGCTCCACTACCTAACAAGATGCTCGCCACCTTTATGTTGTGTTAGCCACCCTGGCTGTTCTTTTTACTGTTTGGATGCGCGACCTCAGCGTTCTAAGTTATATTTCAGGTGAGTGATCAACTTCCTGACTAGGAGATTCATCTCTGAACTGTAAAAATATATAATCTGATAGAATTCTCGTGTGCCTCAATGCGCCCGTATGATACAATGGTTAAAGGACACAAATCTTACAGTAATCCTATAAGAAGAATTTTCAGATATATCGCTACTTGGTGTGGATGTATATTTATATTTCTTGTGCTATTAGCAAACAAGTTCACGTGTTTTCTATTAAGGATAGAGGGAGAAATTTGTACTTAAATAATCCCGCGGTTATATCATATCTAATGCAGATAACTACAAATTAATTTGGGTTATACTTATGCAAGCTACATATGCAAGAAGCCTTCCGATAAACAAAATTCATTTTTCTGATGTTTTGGCATTCATTTGTTAATTTTCAGTTGGAGGGTTATAGCTTCAGTATTGGTTGTCCTTTGCTTGTACTGGGCTAGCTTGGTGGATCATGTAGGCTTTGAAAACAAAGGGACTGTACACTACTAGAAATTTGACTTACTGCAATGCTTATTTAGCAACAGTTATACCATCGTAGCAATAGCTCACCTATTACACGGTTATAATCGTGGCCAAATATCCTTGAATCTAATAGAACAATTCTTAAAATAAATTGTTGCATCGCCCCTATAACCGTCCCTATAGAGAATATATAGCACCAAGTTTTTAAACCGTTGCTATAGATAACTCTATGGCAACGGTTTTTCTTAGAAAAATAAATTCTGATTTTTTAGCCCTAAATATTTTTACCTCCTAAAAGAATATATTTCCCTCCAATATAATTTGGCAAAGATACATTAGTCCCTCCTAAAAAAATAATTCTGATATATTAGTACCTTTTTAAAAAATGTAAAAGAAAAAGAATGAAATTTGTTTCAGAAACCCTTATTTTTTAGAAACTTTCATCAAAGCATGTGAGAGAGCCTTTTTCTGGGTGAAGCTGTGAAAGGAATTTCTAAATATTTTGTTGAGAAAAACAAAATATGTTGGTGAAGCTGTTGGTGAAGTTATTGGTGAAGTTGTTGGTGAAGCTCCTTGGTGAAGCTGTTGGTGAAGCTGTTGGTGAAGTTGTTGGTGAAGCTCGTATGTGAAGCTGTTGCTGAAGCTCGTTTGTGAAGCTCAGTGGTGAAGTTGTTGAAGTTCGTCGAGGAAAACAACCAGCTCGTGTTAGCTAATTTACATTTTAAATCATTAGATAAAATTGACGATGTTAGAATAGAAAGAATGCAATTTGGAGTACAAAACTTAATTGCATATGAACCGTCAAACTTAACATTTAGACATTTACCTAACTGTCAATTAGACACACAACAGACATGTCTTATAGATAACATATGGATAG